GGAGCCCCCCTGCTCTCACCACACCCCCCCTCCTCAGGCATGCTCAGTGAAGCAAAGCGCAGGGATTAACCCTGTGTAGCTGGGTTTTGGTCCCAGAGATGTGGTTCCCCACGATGGGTACAGAGAAGTGCAAAAGAGGTACAGGGGTCCTGTCCCCGGGACGACAGGCCAGGCATTGTGGGACCCCCCCACCCCGGCACCACACATACCTGGCCCCGGGCTTTTGGCCTAATTCTTGTTTGGCCCCGAAGTTTTTCTGTTGAGGAGATGAGGATACCCTTCTGTCGTGAAAGGAATCCTTGCAAAGCTCTAAGAGAAGCTCCTAAAGGATGGCCCTTTAAACAGCTCCTCCATCTCTCTGCCTTTAGGAGCCATTGGGACTAAACAATTCCAGAAAAATAGCTGCTTTTCTTTAAGAAATATTTTAAATTTAAAAAAGCGCAAAGAATATAAAAGTGGCCTGTAATCTCATCACCGCCGCGGCTTTGTTCCCTTTATTTTAAATGCAATACATACACATTAGAAAGCATAACATGGACATTTAATTTCTCTCCCCTCAATTTACAGTTGCTCCTCTCAAAGGTAATGACTACTAAGAGTTTCTTGTGTGTCCTTCCAGGAAAAGAACTTGGGCATACAGTGATATCTTCTTTTCTTAATTAAAAACAAGTCTGGAATTCTTGTCCTATCAGCACTTGGAGATCTCCTTCATTCTTTTCTTTTTGAGATGGAGTCTCATTCTTGTCACCCAAACTGGGGCACAATGGCGTGATCTTGGCTCACTGCAACCTCCATATCCAGGGTTCAAGCAATTCTCCTGCCTCAGCCTCCCCAGTAGCTGGGACTACAGGCACACGCCACCACACCCGGCTAATTTTTTATATTTTCAGTAGAGACAGGGTTTCACCATGTTGGCCATGCTGGTCTCAAACTCCTGACTTCAGGTGATTCACCCGCCTTGGCCTTCCAAAGTGCTGGGATTATAGGCATGAGGCACTGCGCCTGGCCCTCCTTCATTCTTTTTAACGGTTGTGTGGGAATTCACAGTGTGACTGTACCATGGTGTATTTCACCAGTGTCCTAGTGAGGGGCCACAGGCTGCTCCCAGTGTCTAAGTCTTGCAGGTATTGCTGCTATGACGATCCTCAGACATATGCCTTGAGCATAAGCGTGTGAGGATAATGGCAGAATTCCTGCCAGTGCAATTGCCGAGTCCAAGGACATGCACGTGTAATGTTCGTCTCCTCCTTTTTGGAAAGGGTTGTTTCTTTTCCTGCCCTTCTCTATTTTTTTTCTACCAGGCAAACTCCTACTTACCCATCAGAATCCAGCTCCAGTTTCATCTCTGTGAAGGCTTCTCTGGTTGCCCCAGGAATCAATCAGCTCCTTCTTTCATGCTTCTTTAGTCCTTCTTACCTTGTCTTACTGTGGCCCAATTTTTTTAGGTGTTTCCTCTCCATATGTGATCATGATGTGAGGACACTGACGTGTTTTCTTCCGGGGGCACAGTACTTTTGTCTTTAAATTTTTCTTTGTGCAATTCCACTTCCGGGTATAGAACTGAAAGGAGAAACAGACATTTTTACCCCCAAGTACATGGCAGCATTATTCGCAATAGCCAAAAGGTGAAAACAACCCAAGTGTCCATCACAGAGGAATGAATAAAATGTGCTACATGCACACACACACACACACAGAGGCACGTGCTTACACGCACACACAGGCACATGCACACACACAGGCACATGCACACACGCACACATACAGGCACATGCACACACACACAGGCACATGCACACACACACACACGATAGAATAATATTCAGCCTTCAAGAGGAATGAAATTTTGACATGCTACAACATGGATGAAACCTGGGGACATTATACTAAGTGAAATAAGCCAGTCACACAAGAACACTGCATGACTCCAGTTACGTGAGGTACCTGGAGTAGTCAAAATCATAAAGATGAAGAGTAGAATGGTAGTTGCCAGGGGCTGGGAGGAGGGGAAAGGGAAGTTAGTGTTTCATGGGCACAGAGTTTCAGTTTGGGCAGATGAAAAAGTTCTGTAGAGACATGACGGCGAAGGTTATACAACGGTGTGAATGTACTTAATGCCGTTGAAGTGTACACTTAAACGTGGTTAAAATGGTATCTTCTACGTTATGTATATTTTACCATAATAGTTTTCTTTGTATGAAAATATAGACTCTTATAGACTCAAAGGTGCTGATGAGCCCTCTACATGGGTTGATGTAACCATCTCTTTACCTCAAGACGAGGCTGACCCATCCAAAATTGAAGAGAACTTACCCTATTTTCAGATATTTCCAGGGAAGGGAGCCCGTGACATTATTAGACAATCTTTTCCAATGTCTCAAAACCCCAGACATTCTTGGTACCAGACCTTTCCTGCTGCACCTGAAGTTGATTTTCCTTGGTCAGTAAGTGCTTTGTCAGGCTACAAACTCTTCATGCACTCCAAGGCTCTAGTTACACGTCCCTAGTGTAGATCTGATGGTGCCAAGTAACAGGGCAGAGAGTGGACTCTGGAGGCCCAGTGAGGCTCCCTGTCTCACAGGCTTCTCATCAGCATCACAGATGAGCAGTGCTGGGCCTGGATTCCTAAGCAGCCTGGGACACAGGCCCCCAGGCCCTGGCAGGTGAAGAGCCTACCATTTCTCACTTCATTCAGGATGTAGAATAGTTTGCTGGATGCTAGAACTTTACCCTTTCAGGTCGATGTCTTTACTCTTCAGCTGGAGGCCTCTTGCTGAGAGGAAAACATTTCCCAAAGACACAGGAGCTGAGCTGGTGAGTCATTTCAGCAGCCCTCACACTCTCCTCTGACCAGAGACCACATATTAATCAGCTGCTTGAAAGGTGTACCTGGCAGGCATGTTTCCTGCAGCCTGGAAGATGCTGACCTCGTCAGCTCTGAAACATCAAAAGGCTAACGAGAACAACAGGCTGAGAAAGACCTCATTACCTGGGTGCCTGTTGACCGCAGCCTTGTAAGGCCCAACACAGCTGAGATGGGCTGTCTGGAGCTCAGAGGAAGTGGGGCTTTTTCTGCTGTGAGGACCCGCCTTCAGCCCCCTTCTGGGGCACAGGAAGGGGAGGGGGTGAGCCTAAATTGTGGCCCCATGCTCAGATGTCACTGCTATCACAAAGGGAAATTCATGTGGGGGTGGGCACCTCCAGAGACCTCACTTACCTGTGATTCGAGGGATAACAGCATCACTCGTGTGTTCACATGCCAGGCCTGTCACCCTGGAACATCAGTCAATGAGCTGTGTTGACAGTGATTTCAACTCTTGGATTATATGAAGGACCTGGCTGCCAGAAGGCGTTGAGCCCTGAGGAGGACAACAGGCCTCAGGTACTTGATGCAGTTAACGCCGAGACAAGGGGAGTCCCCACAGGTCAGTCCTGTAACTGGGGTCTGATATACGCTCGTGATGGGCATTAGCAGAGTTTGTGCATTATACAGTGGTCTTGGTCCTTTTCATTTCCTGATTAGCTGGAATGTCTGACAGAGTAAATTCCAGATGCCCTTGTGGAATTCTCATTACAACCATGTTGCTAAGGAACTGTCTTCTACGTGTAAGCAATTTGGAAATACTATTAATAGTATGAACATAGGGTTTTTGCACTGTGTGGGTTTACTTTTTATTGTATTTATAAGCACCCCCACCACTACCTTCCCACCACTGGCTCACCATCCAAGGGGCTTGCATCAGGAAACTCAAAAAAGAAGGAAGGAAGGAAGGAAGGAAGGAAGGAAGGAAGGAAGGAAGGAAGGAAGGAAGGAAGGAAGGAAGAAAGGGACAAAGGTTGCCCAGGCTTCACGTGAAGAAAAACTGTACCTGTATTATTCCCTATTGAATTCTCGGGACCTCCATATTGCAGGCATATAGAAGCTCCAATTAATATTTGATAAATCTTGAAGGGAGGAAAAGATAGTCACAGAAAGTTCACTTGAGTGGCCTGAAATTCCACAGCAATTTAGCCAGGAGGCTGGGAGGAGAATCTGCCTTTCCAGCTTGCAGGCCAGCTCTGCAGGAAACCAGTCAGCTCTCCCAGGGGAAGCAGTGGCCAGGCAAGCACGGGCCTCGAAGCTCACGACTGCCTTTGGACTGTGACTCAGACAACATGGGTGGCTCAAAGTTATTGAAGGACTGGGTAGGCCCCTGAAAATTGGGCCTTTCTGCAGCAATCATCAGGGAGACGCATGGTCCTGGGCTAGGGAAGGAGTCTTCTTGGCCCAGAATGGCCAAGCAGCCAAATGTTAGAGCTCAGGACCCTGGAGGTGTCCCTGGAAAGGGTCTTCCCCAGCCTGCTCCTGCAGAGTGGAGGCAGGTTTGGGGTGTTTCGTCTAGGAGAGATTCAGGGAGCTTGGGAGCAAAAGTGACAGTGTGCCCACCCTTTCTCTCCTCTGTAGGGCTCTGTTCTCTTTCTTCTTTTTTGAGACAGAATCTTCTGCTTTATTGCCTAGGCCACAGTGCAGTGGCGTGATCACGGTTCACTGCAGCCTCAACCTCCTGGGCTCAAGCAATCCTTCCACCTCAGCTTCCTGAGTAACTGAGACCATGCCTAGCTAATTTTAAAATCTTTTGTAGAGACGAGGTCTCATTGTGTTGCCCAGGCTGGTCTTGAATTCCTGTGCTTAAGCAATCCTCCCGCCTCAGCCTCCCAAAGTGCTGGGGTTATAGGCATCAGCCACTGTGTCTGGCTTACTCTCTTTCTTAAGGAGAAGGTTTCTGCTATTTCTTGGTCAAATGAGTACAGAAAGCCTGTTCCCCATGGACAACTCTTGAGTGGCTCAGAATGTCAGCAGGAGGGAAATGATGGCTTTCCAAGAGTGTTCTGTGCTGGGATGTACCTTCTCTTGTGTCCTGGTCCTGAGAGCCATGAGACTGACAGCATGGGACAGAGGCAGTGAATGAACTGGGCTTGGGAACACATTTGTTTGCTGGGCCTCAGTTTTCCCACCAGAAGCCTGTCCGCCTGGGTTTTAGAAAGCCAATCCAGGAGAACACGGGAGGTTGCAGGCAGCTCTGACCAGCTGTCTCTCCCACCCCTCGTTTCAGACCTCTCCAGAGTCCGCTGTCCTTCCACACAAGTCCTTGTTGTCCAGTCTGATGGCCCAAGCACCCACAGGGCATGGGGGAGGCCTGAGACAGCGCAGGTTTTGCTGAGGCCATCAAAAAAGCTTACGGAGCAGGCTTGGCCATTGGCCGGAAATCATTGGCCCCTGCTGGGCTCATGCAATATTCATGGAACCGGTGTGGGCTCCTGCAAGTTCCTATGAGCAATGGCCTTGCCCATTTGAAGCTCATCAAAGGACTGGTTCAATATCCTGGGCCACTTTCTGTTCCTTTTTCCTCTCCCCCGGTGCCGTCCTCCTTCCACCCTCCCCGACCACCCCTCCTCTTTCTCAGCTCTTGGCACCAAGTAGCTATGAAGACTCTGAGACCTGGACCATCCCAAGGCTGTAGCTTTCTTCAAGGCTGCCGGGCTCTGCACGGTGAAAAGTCTGAAAGCTTTTGCTCTTCCAGGTAAGTTGGGGAGAGGGTTCCGTCATGCCTGTTTCTTCTTTATTTTCCTTTCCCTCTCTGGGCCTGAGAGACCAGATTTTTTTTTTTTTTTTTTTTTTTCAGTACATTTTGGCAGGCCCCACTTTTTTTTTTTTTTTTTTCTGACAGAAAAAAAATAACAGGCATATTTTGGGCGATTACTCAACTGGGGTCCTTTGTGACAGGATATGCTGCTGCGTGACTAATGGAGCTGGCTTTCTCCTGGCTTCCTTCCCCTTTCAGAGCTCTTGTTTACTGCCCTATACAAAAAAAAAAAAAATGCCATAAGCTACAGATTTTTATTAAAAAAAAAAAGAAGCCTTGTGAGATACTCAAAGGCAATAAATCCTTCAGAGATTCCATTTCCAGGGCTGCAAACTCCCCGCCATCACCGCACTTTTTCTTTTCAGTGCTCAAGATTCATGACATGTGAATCTTCTTCCACCCCCACGTCCCTGCTTTCTTCTGAACATGTGTCCAGCAGATCGTGGGGGGCGGGGAGGGTGGGGGAAGGGGAGCAGGATGGGAACCATATTTATGGTGCTTAACTCAGCAATTGCTAAAGGAAGAAATAATGACTTCCAGGGGGCTCTGGGCCTTTTTTCCAAGGCCTTTGTGTTTTCATAATCTATGACAATTTTGTGGTGTAAGCAAAAGTTATTACAAAACATGGAACTAGCCTAATGAGGAAGGTTATGTTCTAAACCAGGAGGGACTATCTCTTTATAGAGGAAATTCAAATTTGGCTGGCTTTGGAATTTGGAATCTCTGGGCTTTCCAGAGAATGTTTGGGAAAGAGTCTCTGGAGCTTGGCGTGTCTGATAACTGAAACCGGCCTTTCAGTTTTTCTACAGATCAGATGGTTTGTTATTTCAAAAGGTACCTGGCTATGGATGGGGAAAGCTGACCAAGAAGTTAGGTTTACCAGAGACAGACTGGCGTAGATAGGACACAAGATTTGTGGCCAGGCGATGGGTTTGAGTCTCAGTTGTAATCTGGAGCAAGTCATTTAATCTCTGTAAGTCTCAGTTGCTCTGATGCTAAAATTGGGGTTCTATCCCCTTCCCTCAAGGCTGCTAACAAAAAAAGTAAGATGACATAAATTTAAGGCATGGTGGGATTTTTTTAAAAATGTCAATAGTGTTTGGAGAACATGTGGTTTTCAGTTACATAGATAAGTTCTTCAGTGGTGGTTTCTGAGATTTCGGTACTCCTGTCACCCGAGTAGTGTACAGGGTGCCCAACGTGTAGTCTTTTATCCCTCATCCCCTCCCAACCTTCCCCTCCCCCCAGTCCCCAAAGTCCACTGTATTATTCATATCCATGACATGTGCGTATTCTTGACAATTGAAGAAGTATGCAGTGATCCCTTCTAAGGCTTCTTCATGCAAAGGGCGGGCTCACACTTTCAACAGAGGAGAGAGGCTTGTGACCCTGAGAACTACAAATACTACTGATGAACCAAAGGGAGATTATTTATACGGTGGCCCAGGACACGATATTACATGGGTGTTTGGGAGGCTGGTTTTGTGTCCAAGTTTGCCTACTCCCTGGTCATCTTCCAGGCAGGCCTCAGAATCCTAACTTTGATCACATTCCTTCCCTACCCAGGAAACTCTCTTGTCAAACCTAGACAAAAGGCACCTGCCTGCTCCATCTTGCCTGCCTTTTCCTCTGTAACTAAGTCATCTTATGCCCACACTCTCCGTTTTGGCAAAGTGAACACTGGACGCAGTTTAGCCACTTGCCTGACATTTTCACGGGACGTTGCTTGGAGGTCCTCACCCCGCCTTCACCTTCCCCTACCTGTTCCTCCTCTTCTCTGCTACACCTTGCTCATTTGTCATTTCTTATAGGATCCTACTTCAGCTTCGCCCCTCCCTGACGCTTCACTGATTAGAACACCTCAAGTGGACACTTCAAACCCTCTGATAAACCCTACCAACTATCTTTTTTCAGTCTCCACAATTCAAAAATCTAATAATACCCTAGGTAAAGGCAATTGACTTGACTTCTCCAGAAGATAAACTGAGGCCCACCCAGGAACTAACTGGACAGAGATTACACAGTAGATCTGTGACAGACAGAAATAAAAACGCCGCATCCTGATTCCAGTTTGCCTGGAGTTTAAAAAGAGGTTCTTTAGCTTGACTATCCCAGAATAGCCTCTCCTGGGCTAACCAGCTGTGAAGTGATGTATCGCAAGGGTTATTATTATTATTATTTTTTTGCCTTGGCTTAACTCTTAAAAAAATACCCCAAACTCCCAAAATCGGCCTAAGAAAATCCATTTCTCACAATGTCATCCGCTTGCCAAGTTTAAACTTAGTACATTACATTATGAACGCCTCCAGGCCTCACTCTCGGCTTACTGCGATGCTCAGGTATCTGAATTGAGTTCAGAAATCACAGTTTATTGAAGGAAACAGATCATTAAGTCACTCCACTGGACTGAAGCTGTTGACGTTGTTTATTTGGAGAAGCTGAGCATTGACTCATGTTCTCTTGATTTGCGTGGATCAGGACTAACTGGAGCTATTTAACAAAGGGTGTGGCCATCAGATGGCACAGGGCCCGTCAGGGCTAACGGGAAGAGGAATGAGGACAGTGGTGTGCTGAAGCTTGCACTGGCTTGTGAAAGCTGACTGGTAAATTTTCAGGAATTTTGCAAGCTGGTTGTTGAACAGAGCCATTGTTAAAAATTAAATGATATAAACATATAATTAATTAATTATATTTTAAAAAGATAATACAACAGATCGGATCAGATCAGATCCTAATTTTTTTAAACTACAGTTTACTATCATCTATGTGCTTGGGTTATGTCTATTATACACATGGTGGGAATACAATAGAGTGGTATACTACTGTGACTCTCTTCCCAATTCCACAGTCAGGAACATCACATTGGTAACCTGAAATTGGCTGTGGTGAGAATATTTACACCACAGAAATTGGCACACTCTACACTCAGGCCTTGATTTATTGTTGTGTTGTTATGTAGACTTAAGGCAGTGATAGAGAAAATGTTAATACGGTAGGATTAGATGTAAAAGTGCCCTCTGTCTGTAGCAGTGACATTGTGAATAACAGAAAATATTGAGGTAATATTTTTCTCATTTTTGAAAACTATTACCTGATTCAGCAAAAAAGTGGCTCCTACGGAAAAAAACTCAGTGAAGTTCTGAAATGTGCCTTCGTTGTTTCGCTTTTATCTTACTTATTATTGCAGACATAATTATTAACCAACGTTCACATCAGATTCACAATCAGAAAGCCAGGTGGTAAACATTTACCAGCACACTACTGGAAAGGAGTGTCTATGGACTGCTCCCTTGGGATTACAGAAGAAAGAACGCTGTAGAACATCTATACGACTTGGCAATCAGGGGCCTGAGGTACAGCTGAGGTACAGCTGTGGAAGAGGAGATGCTAACTGCTGGGAAGACAGCAACACAGATTTTACAGTCAGCAGCCAGAGACGACTCTCAGAACAGGAATGTGAAAAAATCAACCAGATATTCTAAACTGAAATCTACCACTGGATACCAACAAGGTTAAATGGTAGAAAAGCTATAATCATTTCTAAATTCAAGGGTAGGATTAATACTGTATTTTTGCAGTATCTGAAAGTTCTGTGGCCTTTCTTATACACCAGTTTATGTGATCACCAGAACAGAACTGAGGTTCAGGGGAAAGTTAGCTATCAGCATTGGCCCCATTTTACAGATGGAAAACTGAGGCAGTGGAAGGTAAAGTAGTTTGCCCATGGTTACTCTTTCTGTGTAAATGGCTACCCTGGGACTAGAGGGGGACAGAACTATCACAGACTTGGGGGTCAGACACACCTTGGTTAAAAACTCAACCTTGACATTTATGTAACTTTGGTAATGCTACTTTACCTTTTTAAGTCTTGCGGGGTTTTGTTTGTTTCTTTGTTTGTTTGTTTTTTAACTTACAAAATGGGGATGATAAAGCCTAGATCACAAGTTTGCAGTGAGGGTTAGTTTAAAGAGAGAATGCTGCAAAGGACACGGTGCTTGGAAAGCCTTTGCACCTCCCACCATGGTGTTATAAATTATTTACATTTGACTTTAAAATACAGTATAAGGCTCTTTTGGCTCACATATTTACTTTTCTAATTATATGTGTTGAGTTTAGGTAAATTACTCTGCATGGCCTTAGGCCAAACCAATTTGAGGGGGTGGGGGCAGGGGCAGGGAGGAGGGAGAAGGGAAGAGGTGGGTCAGAGAGGAAATCTGGTTATGATTCCTGTGAAGGTGGAGATGGAGGTGGAGCATTTGGGCAGGGGGAAGAATTGAAATTTTGTAAAGGGATCCTTCACTCACTGATAATGGGAGAGAATCTGTATATACTATCATGTTCAACAAGGCCATTCCGTGCAACAGAAGCTGGAGTTCCAGATGGACTGCCTCTGCCTACATCTAGCCCTCCACATCACCACCAGCACAAATGAGAAGGTTCAGAGACCTCTGGGCCCCCGAAACCCTCACAGCCTCTCCAGCACTCTCGGCCTTGGAACAGGACCCATCCCCATGAAAAGCTGAGGCCTCAGGCCATCCTTCAATTGCCAGGGCAGGGAGGCAGCTGCCCCCCTACTTCCCAGAGTTCTCACTCCTCCTTCTGGATGGGTCTTTCTACTTAGAGCTTGTCAGCACGTGGCATGCTATTAATTCACTAGACGGTAAACTCTGTGAGGGCAGGGGTTTTTGTTTATTTCATATGGGACCTAGAACAGTGCTAGAGACACAGAAGGCTCTCAATACATAGTGGCTCAAAGAAGAGAGTAAAATGAATCATCCTCACCTTTTGTTTTCTCTTTCAAATAACAATCCATTCTTTGATCAAGCTCAACAGGTTCAGATTTGGCTCAGGGCTCACGGGTGTAAACTGAGGAGGTAAGGGTGTTGTCAAAGTCTTGAGGGGGGTGCTCGCTGCAGAAACAGCATCTCTGAGGATGGTCCATTGACCAGCCAACATGGACTGAACAAGGCAAGGCGGTGGAGCTCAGTGGTTAAGAACGTGGTGGTTCAAATCCTGGCCCTGCCATTTATTAGCTATGTAACCTTGGGCAAGTTATTTTATCTCTCTGAGTGTCATTTTTCTTATCTGTTAAATGTGGATAAAAATATCCACCTCTAAAAGCTGTAGTGCGGGTTAACGAGATAAAGCATGGCGAGTGCTTAGCACAGAGCCTGGCACGGGAAAGGGAGCCAGTATTCATGGCCCTGTGAAGGTGGAGGTGGAAGGTGGAGGTGAAGGTAGAGGTGGAGGTGGAGGTGGAGCATTTGGGAGGGGGAAGAACACAGCTGGAAGAGCTGGGAAAGGGCCGACCTGCAAAAGACCTCTGTGTACCCAGATGGCATCTTATCAGCCTGCAATGGGGCCCTGCAAAGAGGCCTACAGCAGTAACACCTACCCAAGAGGACCTGGCTGTGTCATGGGGACTGACACGGTCATGGCCCTAGCTAGATCCAGAGAGCCACTGAAATGATGCCAATGCTTTACTGTAGAGATGGTGTCTTCCTTTGGGCAAAATAACCACAAACACGCCTCGACACGTAAGACAGTATACACAGGGGAGGACACCCACGCTGAAGCCATGCCCAAGAATAAAGGACACAAGGACTTATAAGATACCCTGAGTTGAGAACTACAGGGTTTAGAACCAAGGAGGAGCAAAAGGGCAAATGGGTGAGGTGGTGTAATTTTCCTTCCAGGAAGATAGCTGTGGTTTCATTACAGGAGATGGGCTTTCAGGGGGCATCGAAAGGAGAGGGGGCTGGAGGAAAAGAGACACTACACAGTGGGAGGCGCATGTATGAAAATGTCATGTCTGATGAGAAGAGCCGGGGCGGGAGCAGCAGGGCAATGGCAGGGTGCACAGGGATTCTCTCCTGCCTCCAGACAGGGCTCTAATGCATCCATCACTGGGCACATGAATAGTCTGACCTGGATACCAAGGGGCTCCTCTGAGCTTGTTCCCAGGGTGAGCCTGATTTAGACTCAATAAGTTCCCATTTTACTTGATATTTTAAATGGCACAGGTACTCAAAACAGCATGGTGTATTGGAAGATAGACCTGGCATAGGGGCCAGTAGACTTGATTTGAGGTTCCAGAAATCATTGTCCAGGTTTAATTTTGAGGCTCAGTTTCCTCATCTGTGACAGGGAGGAGCATAGTCCCCTCAGAGGCCCCTGGTGATGAACCTCTGGGGCCTTTGGCTGTGGGAGCTCCACGCTTTGTGCTTCCAAGGACCACTCGCTTCAGCAGGACTCCCCCACCTCCCCGGCCTAGTGTGGCCCTGCAAGAAGAGCACAGCTTCTCTGGTTAATCCTGACCTCACCCTGGCCCTGCCTGCGTGTGGAGACACAGTCCCTGGACGCTGGGCAGGGACGCCTGTCATTCAGTCAGTGCAGCTCAGGCGCTAAGCGCATAAATGGATGCCTGCAAAACACACTGGGCTCTTTGCTTGAAAGCCACCAGCGCGAGACAAAGGATGACTTCCCTGGCTGCATTCCTCAGCAGGGGGCTCGCCACGCCTGCCTCCTCCAGAAGTGCCTGTGCAGGTGCAGACATGTACACCTTCCTGAACGCTAGCTCTGCCCCACCTAGTGTGCAATGCAGATGCAAATTCCACTCTCTTGCAGCTACCTTTTGCAACTGCAGGCATGTCACGTAGCCCTAATTCCCCGGCTTCAGTTTCCAGAGCTACAAAGCAGGAGCCATAGGCACTCTAAACTCCCTGCCTTCTAGCAAATCTCTCAAAAGTTATTACGGATTGTTTTTGATTCTGTGGGACCGCTATGGGTCAGCTTGCATTCCCAAACCAAATGCAGCCACTTGCCTTGGTCTAGCTCATTTGGTGTCCCCTAACTGTGGCTTATTATGAGGGTCCACAGCCAGCCTGCTGTGGTGGGGTTCTAGCTACCATGTACTAGCTGAGTGACTCAGGACAAGTCATTTAACCTCTCTGTGACTACGTTTCCTCATCTCTAAAGTGGGATCTAGATGCACTTACCCCATAGGCTGTAACATATGCAGGATGAACTCATGCATTTGAGTTAATTATATGAGTTAGCACAAGTGTATGAGCTCCTACTATACAGTACATGTAAAATGCTTAAACCAGTGCCCGGCACATAGTAAGAATCATTATAAGTGAAATAACAGTAACAATGATAGTAGGTATTATTATTCATTTTCCACCCCAATGATCATTCCTGTTCCACTTTTCTGACTTTCTCACCATAGCCTTAAGGCCTGGCTCTATCTGGCATAGGTTGGCTACTACCACGAGCACTCCAAGACTCACAGAAGCAGGGGATGGAAGGGAGGTTGTGAGAAGCAGGTGGAGATGGAGGATTGAGAAGAGGATGTGCTGGGGCTGGAGGAGCAGGGAGAAGATAATTTCACCAGAAATAGAATAACAGAACAATGGCTGGGCTAACCCTCTCAGAGCTCTGAAGGCCCAAGGCAGTGGCACAGCGTCTGTGCTGGGGTCCCCCAGTATGTACCCTAATCTGACATGTATAATGTGTGTACCACAATAGAATAGAATGAATTAAACTTGAAAGAGAGCTTATTCCTCAAGCTGGGTGCGAACTCCATTGAATGGAATTGAACAGCATTAGAAAGTGGGTGTATCAGTCATATTTCTTCCCTTTGACTTAGAATGGAAGGTTGAGAAAAACTGTGGCTTCTTCAACCCCAAGCCTTTTCTTAGCATTTTGCCTTACTGTGCTGGGGTCATAAAGGAATCAGGCATATACTAGATGCCTAAGCAAGCTGTGAGAATAGGAGGGCCGTCTCATGCCCATTTGCCTAGACACTGAATCCCTCCTTCCTTCCTAACCCATCCCTTGGCACCATGCTGGATCTATGCCTGCTAAGTTACAGACCTGGACGCTCCTCAAACTACGTCTCAGAAAAGCAGGGCCCTAACCCAGATTGTTTTAGACCCCTCCCCAGCTCCCTCTGTTTTTTACTGACACTCTAGTCCCTGAGATATTATCCCAAGGAAGGGAGGCAGGCAAGCCTTGCTTGTCTAACTGCTACTTTGTCCCCTCTCTCCTCTGCTTCTCCTCCTGGCCGGGCAGAGCTGTCCACTTTCCCTTCCTATCTGAGGGGAAATTTTCTTAGGCTTTCGACTATCTTTTCTAAACTATGGCTTATGGTAAAGTCCCATTATCAGACCATCTGACTTGGCACTTGAAAGATTTTAAAATTTAGAAATCTTTCCACAAAGCCTCTAGCAACTCAAGAGAGTCAGCATGGACCCCCCAAGGCTGAGCAGTGGCCCATCATCCAGGTAGTGTCCCCTTCCACAGTGAGAAGTGGGTCTGTGGCTGGGAAGCCACAAGGGAAAGAGGAAACAGTGGTTTAAGACACTCATTGGTGATACCCCTAGCCTACTCGTGGAACATATACTCCATTACACTCATACTCCTGTGGGATGGGACTTAGCATTTTATACTCATGGGTGCATATTCAAGTAAGTGAGGGGGGCATACAGCAAATGAAAGTACTCTTTTCTGATTGATGAGACTATACATGATTTTCATCTATTTTTGCTCATGCACATTTTCTAACTTTCTACAGCTAATATGTTACCTTATGATAAAAATAAAATTAATATCATATTTTATGTGAGATTTTAATTAAAATATACAAATATATATTCATTAAGCATATCTAAAAAGGCATCTATATACCTCCTCATTTATATATTATATAGCACATAATGTAACCTATAATATGTATGATATATTAGAATACAGGTGACTATTCACAGAAAATTTCTGGAAGGAACACAACAAAATATAAAGTTTTTTTAGTTGTGTTTTTCTGTATTTTTCGGTTTTTGCATTGAGCATTTATTTTAGTAATTAGGAGGAAAAACGTGTATATGTATACATGTAAATGTGTGTATATGTGTATGTGTACATGTGTATATATATGCATGTGCATGTATATGTGTGCATGTTATGTGTATGTGTGTATAGTATGTATGTATGCATGTATGTCTGTATATGTGTGTACAGTATGTGTATGTGTGTGTGTGCATACATATGTGTGCATGTGTGCAGATGTATATGTACGCATGT